AAAGTTAAAACATATCACTGTGTACATGGATTCTTGTCGAATATTTTTTCGTTTTTGCAATCTAAATTTTTTGTTTTTGTTTCGGATTTTTAGCTTAAATTGTGTGTTCAAAACATGGTTTTTGCTGACATTTTAGGCTAAAAGTTCGAAATGTATATAAAAAATTTAGGTAGTAATGTGGCGGCGTGGAATTTCTCGACGCATTTGGCAACCTGAGGGCGCATATAAGAGTAGTTCCAATATGTTTTTTATTTATATTAAGCTGTAGAAGGGAATAATTTTTATATAACAGCATTTCATTTGCAGAACTTTAGAACTCTTGTAACGTAGTTATGTTACCAAACAAAATGCACTTGTTATTATCTTGTACTGTTGATGATGATGAAGCACAAGAGCAAATAACAAATTCGAAACACCTATTGCTTTACTTCTTACTTATTCTAAAATGCACAGTTGTCACTATTCAACTTACTAAAAAAACAAATAAGCACTGTTTATTGACAGTGGGAACGTGCAGATCAAAATGAAACTAGATTTGTTGATACTATAAAAATAATACAGAAGAAAATTAAATTATAGTGTTTGGTTTGAAGAACTTGTTCTAAATATACGAGGGCTATCCAGAAAGTAGATTACGTTTTGGAATAAAAAAATAAACAAAGTATAGGAAACAAATTTTATTATATACAGATGAAAGCCACACTCAAATACTACTTTTCTACATAGTCACCATACAAATTAAGGCATTTATCGTAGCGATGTACGAGCTTGGAAATTCCTTCGTCGAAAAATTCGGCCGCCTGCGCCTTCAACCAACTTCGTTACCTCTTCTTGCAGCTGTGCGTCGTCATCAAACGCTGCATAGCCAGCCACTTCTTCATTGCTGGGAATAGGTGGAAGTCGCTCGGTGCCAGGTCGGGACTGTACGGCGGATGAGGAAACAACTCCCACTTAAAAGATCAAGAACTTTACGAGTGACATTGCCGTGTGGGGCCGGGCGTTGTCGTGAATCAACAAGATCTTAGAGCTCAACATTCCTCTGCGCTTGTTTTGAATTGCTCTTCTGAGTTTTTGGAGAGTTTGGCAATACCTTTGAGAGTTTATTGTAGTGCCTCTTTCCAGGAAGTCCACCAAAATTACACCTTTTCTGTCCCAAAAAACAGTCGCCATCATCTTCCTTGCCGACATTGTTTGCATGCATTTCTTGGGTTTTTGGGGAGAACTTGTGTGCCCCCACTGCATTGATTGCAATTTCGTTTCACAGTTCACATGTTTCACCACCAATAACGATGCGATCGAGTAAAGAGTCACCATCCTTATGGTAAGCGTCCAAAAAGTTCAACGCTGCAGCCATTCGCTGATTTTTGTGGTCCTCTGTCAAGATTTTTGGAATCCATCTTGCACAAAACTTGTGGTAACCAAGCTTTTCGCTGATGATTTCGTGCAACAAACTTCGCGAAATTTGTGGAAAACTCAAAGAAAGTTCCGTTATTGTGAAATTTCGATTTTCACGGACTTTAGCATCGACTTTTTCGAGAAGTTCGGCGGTCACTATGCTGGGTCTCCCACTTCGATCTTCGTCGTGAACATTGGTTCGGCCATTTTGAAATCTTATGACCCACTGACGCACTCCACCTTCAGTGATAATGTTGTCCCCATACACTTCACGAAGCTGCCGATAGATTTCTATCGGTTTACAGTTTTTTGCAGTCAGAAACCTTATTACTGAGCGCACCTCGCAGCTCGCGGGATTTTCAATTAACGCAGACATTTCAAACCGTCACAGTATCTGAACGGAGCACAGCACGAACCTCTCACTAGCACGGCTAGATGCAGACTGAGCTGCGCAACGCTCTGACCCCAAGATGGCCGCGCTAGCCCCGCCCCTAGCGGACACAGACGGAAACGTAATCTACTTCCTGGATGGCCCTCGTATTATAAACACTTAATTTTCTTTAAATGTGTACCAAAATACAATTTTTATTACAAAGCAGCAAATATTTAATATGTTCATATAAAATTCAAAAAACTAGTTTGCAGACGTAGTCAATTATACCTAGCAATATATAATCCAAGATTTTCTGTTATAGACCTTCCTATTTATTGGAAGATAAATAATGTTTTCAAATGAACAACCAGGTGTAATACTTTACTAGCTGATTGTGGTTTAAAACATTGAAATAGCAAGAGGTCATATGCTGGCAATACTGCTAATAGTCTACATGTCATATCATTTTCTGTCATGATATGTTTTTCTGCAAGCATTTTCTGCAGCAACTCATTGATGGGAATCCCTCCAAAGATGTATAAATTTACACTAAAATTAATCTGTGATACAAAAAGGAAGAGTCGAACCTAATAAAATCTGTAGGATGTAAATTGTTTTCTTTCCATTGAAGCACTACAAGAAATATCTCAAGATCATAGTGTACATGATTAAGTGGAAGTAACATATAAATGATCAGTAAAAGTCTTCTTGTAAATCTAATGAAATTCATATTTGTTGCATCCTAATTAATATCCTATAATATGCTGTACCTGTACATCTTTCTTAATAATGAATTTATCATAAATGATACCAGAAATTATAAGAATGATACAAAAATTTCTTAGTAAAAATCTAAAATGGTGACAATTTAAAAAAAAAAAAATGTTAATAGATATGAAAAGACTAACTAAGCAGATCTTGAGCAAAATTTAAAAAAATTTGGAATAAGAAAAGAAAATGAACTAGTATTTAGGTATAACACAAAGGATGAATACATCATAAAGTTTAAATTAAAATTAAACCTTTATTTTTCAAGTTTGATACTGCAGTCGCATCCATAGAAAATTTAAAAACATCCTTTGAAAGAATTTTTTTAAAGCCTACAGTTCATGAAAAGCAATTACATGATTGCTAACTAACAAATTTCTTTTACATACACATAAATTAAAACTTCAGTAGAACTGCTTAAAAAAATGATTACATTAAGAAACAATTAAACATAATAATTTAAGAGGTACAGAATAACAAATTTATTTGGTTAATTATAAGCAATAGTATATTAAGTATATTAATAGTATTATAAGCAATGACTGAATTCCAGAAGATATTTGTTCAACAAATTTTTAAAATGTCAATTTGAAGGAAAAAGCATGGTCTTATGAAATATTCCTACTTGCAAATAAATATTGTATAATTTGGACATTTGCATTTTAATAAAATTTCACAGTATACAGTTAAGTGTCAGATTTTAATATACTGGCAACAAAGCCTATCATTGGGGGAGGGCAAGGTTTGACTACAGATTTAAAGTCATTTTTATTTTGATAGTTACCAATGTAAACATGAGTAACACTTTTTCATACAGTACATGTCATTCTGCAAGTGTATGATTACTTATACAATTGTAAAAAAGGTAGTAACAAAATAGCTACTAAAACTGAAATATCAATTATTCATTGACTTTTCAAAATTATATTCATTCTTATATCAGATGCTGGGTATAATTCTATATTTGTATTGCCTGAAAGAATTATATCAGATTTCTCATCCTCAACACTGACTCATAAAACATGCACACATTCACCTAATACAAGGTATACCCCTTAATTCATCTCCAATTTTTTTGTATGACAAATGAAAAATTATTCGTAATTATTACTCTTGTTGGAAGCAGGCAACAGTAAATCAATTTAATATCTATTTAATATCTATATCAATTTTCATTTTTTCGAGAAGCCAGACTGCTTTAGTTTTTTCCACATTTAGTCTAATCTTTCATGTGGTTAAAATAATGTCACAAATATGCAAATGTAATATTATTCAACAAGATATATATTTTCATTTAAAATCACAGTACAACTCGTGCACATAGCACAATAAATACTGAGCATTTATCTAAATATTTTTCACATAAACAATGAATATGACTGGTTCCAGAAGAAAGCTACTAATTTTTCATTTGCTACATGGTAGCAAAAAAATTGCTTATAGTTTTAACTTTATTATTGTTTTAAAAAATAATTTTAGTTTGTTACTATAATGGCAAAGCTATATTCCACAATAAAATACCTTACTTTTACTGATAAATCATTAGAAATGCTACTATACAGTGAAAGCCTGACTATCCGGCATTCAACTAACCAGAAAGTTCCAGTACCAGAACATTTTTGGGTACTATTCGGTTTTGAGGGCCGTAAAAAATCGCCAAACTATTGTTGATGTCAATGCTGCCATAAATAATTGCGGCAACACTAATGTAAGAATGGAAGTATAATAGTAAATAACTATCTAAGATTGATGTTTTAATTTAGATGAAAGGTTAATTTCATATAATACTTTTTTATTATTATTATTTATATAAAAAAGGCTAAACATGACTGAATGAAAGCATAAGAGTAAATAACTATTTCAAATCATTATTATAATTTACATAAAAATTGCTAAACATAACTGAATGGATGCCTGCATCGCTATTTCGCTACCGACTTATCGCTAAAGCATAATTTCATCTTGTTTATTAAAACGTAATTTTCTATAATGAATGATGCCTTTTTTTTAAAATATTCTCGGTAAAGTGCAGAATCGCTCACTTATTTGTTTGTTGCTTTTAACAAGGATAAAAACAATTGGATTTTTGTCAATTTTCTTTTACTTTTTAGGTGAAAATAGGTTGATGTGTACATAGATAAAGTCAAGGGTTTGTGCAGTGCCATTTTTGTGCAATTCTGAGATTTTTTTTAAGTGAAAATAGGTCGATGTGCACATGGATACCGAGTATGTGCAATTCTTAAAAACGCGTCAAACAATGGGCGATTCTGCACTTTACCCAAAATTCTATTGCCGACTTTTCGTCATGGGCAATTCCCAAATTGTTAAATCCATAGGATATAAAAAAAGGATTTTAAATCAAAAAAGGATTTAAAAATTAAACTAGTATTTCAATGCCGCCTTAAGAAATATAAAACTATATAAACTTACACAATCTGAAATCAGCACGCTGTTAAATGGGTGCGTTTGCTAGATTTGGCGCTTTTGTGCATACATTTTTGCTGCAATTTTTTTACGATCCTCAAAACAGAATAGTACCCATTTTTTAATTTTAGAAACCATTTTTTTTAATTAAGCAAATAAATAAGAGATTTGTAACTGTGGCATAAAGCCTGAATAGGCCTATGATTTGAATCAAACAAAAACTGCTACTAAACAGAACAATTTAGTGCCAATCATGCATAAGTGTGATATCACAACCCAGTCATAAGATTTTTTGCTTTATGTAAACCGAATTCTCAAGAAGTTCTGTAAAAACAGGTACTTATGCATTACTGCAACCATCTCAGTTACAGAAGTCACCCAACTCTCGGAACCATGCGTATAAGTTTTTTATGTAACTGTATCGATCATAAATTGCAATCCGAAAATTCACCAAATAATTTTTTCTTCAGTAAAAAATTACCAAACTGCACTAAGGTGGTTGTGTTAAATCCCAAGTACCAGAAAACAATATAAACTAACCACTATTTATCTGTTTTTCAACTGCATTTTGAAAAAATGATTCAAATTTGGGACTTGCCTTCAAAAGAACAACACACAATAAAGTATTTTCAAAATTATGGGATCCTGGCAACAAGGACAGTGGGACTTATCTGAAAAAGATCACAGACTGGTTGTGCAACATGAAAAATTATGACAAGCAATTTAAGTTTTTTTATATATTCTGCACATAGCTTGTGTATGTTAGTTATCTAACTAAATAAAGAGCAATCTGTTTGTTCAAACTGCTACCTGAATGACTGGCACAAGTTTCATGAGATCTCCATCAATTTACATGGTAGACAAAATTTCTTATTTGAATATGATGTTTTACTTGAGCATGTCTGTCTGAAATGGCCTTATCAGTCATAATTTAAAAGTAGGTATCTGACATTTAAATTAATAATAAATTAAATGACTCTTTATAATTTTAGGCTGGAAATTTTTTCTTACAATCATTTGGCTGTTTGATGTGAAATGCATTCTTTATATCAATTGTTAATAATTTTCACTTCTGAAATTTGGCATTTGCCAAGCTTTTACTGTACTCATTTTACCACAGATGAGAATGAAGCTCAGAATTTAATTGCTACAATCAGCAATTACATACATTGAGATACATTTCACAACACATATTCAACTCATTTCAAAATAATTTTAAATTCCAAAACTATAGAAATTGCATTTGACAGCAATATGGAATAGCAAAAATGAGAATTTTGATTTCAAATTCATGAATTGAGCATGAGTAGAATATTCCTAATTCATATAATTACAATATTTAGTTGCAGCAAACATCAAAAGTAAATAATAATCCATTTGTTGTTTCAAATTTGTTATTTCTGAAATAAATATTTCCATTCTCAATTTAGTAGTTAATCTCAGAAAATTGGGCTCATTACCATTATGCAAAATTTGTATATACTTAAAGTAAAAAATAAACATAAGTAATAATAATATATCATAAAGTAATAAATAAGCAATATATGTTAAGCTTAGAAGAAAATGAATGAGAGGAATATATAATCAAAAATTCAGAAATTCCATATAATAATTCTGGAAATTAAAAGGAAAAAAAAAAAAAGATGGTTTTGAGATTATTATAGCAATGTTAGACAAGAATTCAACTTAACAATCTAACTGGTCATTAGCAAATAATCTACCAATTTTCAGGTAACTTATTATCTTTGTTACATAATGATACACTTTTGGTTTTTATCCATCTCCATTTTTTCATCTCAGCCTTTAATTAAAGTAACTTCTATCATTCTTACAAGGTTTCTCTGCAGTATAGACAAGCATTTCTTGGCATTTATGTGTTATCCTGTCAACCATGAAAGTTTGCTACCCTCGAACAAAGTTGCTGAAGATCCTGCCAAATTTGTGCCAGTCATAACTGCAGAATTCTGAAGGAACTGATACTTCTTTATTTAATAACAATCAGTATTCGACCCCACTTTGTTTCTGGACTCCACTTCAAACAAACACTTTCATGAGTTTCTACTATTTTACTAAGCTTTTCAATTTTACCGAAGGCTCAGTTAAAAACCATATAATTACATATTTTCTGCAGGTAACTGTTATAATCCATAACTGTTTCATTGACAGTACTCAGCTGACGATATCACATTCACTAATACATAATTTTTTCACTGCAGGATACCATAACTTTGAAAATAATCCACTGTTTACTGTTTTATACAAAATAGATCCAAAATTTTAATCATATTTTTTTTCAAAGTTCAATAAAAAGTACATCAATAATAGTTAATATTGATATTCTTGTCCATGAAAAACGAATGTGGCTTATCGAGTATTCATCAAAGTTGCATCAAATGAAAATGCAGATGCTATGAATACACTGTTATGTCTTGCTTATTCATAATTATCATTCAATCATACTGCTTGGCAAAAGTTTCAAACTAAACGGGATAATACGTAGATACCCTATTCTTGTATGGTTATGCAAATTTTCTCTTTCTAATTGTATTAATCTTTCTCTAACATGAGGCTTTACTCATGTATGAATAAGCATGTGTATCTTCAAATCATGATTTTGTCTAAATGACTTCTTACATACTTCGCACAAATACGGTTTCTGTTCTGTGTGTACAAACATATGCCTATTAAAATTGAATTTAGTTTTAAATGACTTGTTACATATCTCACAAACATAAGGTCTCTCTCCTGTGTGACTAAGCCTATGCACATTTAATTCAGTTTTTTGCTTAAATGTTAGGTTACATATCTCACATGCGTAAGACTTTCCTTCAGTATGAATAAGCATATGGCTATTTAATGCACCCTTTTGTCTAAACAAATGTTTACATACCTCACACTCATAAGGTTTTTCTCCTGTATGAATACGAATATGCCTGTCTAAATTAACCATTTGCCTAAATGCCTTGCTACATACCTCACACACATAAGGTTTTTCTCCTGTGTGAGTAAACATATGCTGATTTAAATCACTTTTTCGTCTAAATGACTTATTACATACCTCACAGAGATAACATTTCGCTCCCGTATGAATAAGCTTATGCCTATTTAAAGCACTTCTGTGTCTAAATGACTTGTTACATACTTCACAAACATAATGTTTTTCTCCTTTATGAATAAGAGTATGCATTTTTAAATCAGTATGAACAAGCATATGGCTATTTAATGCCCCCTTTTGTCTAAACAAATGTTTACATACCTCACACTCGTAAGGTTTTTCTCCAGTATGAATACGAATATGCCTGTCTAAATTAGCCATTTGTCTAAATGCCTTGTTACATACCTGACACACATAAGGTTTTTCTCCTGTGTGAGTAAACATATGCTGACTTAAATCACTCTTTCGTCTAAATGACTTATTACATACCTCACAGCAATAACATTTCTCTCCCGTATGAATAAGAGTATGCCTATTTAAAGCACACCTGTGTCTAAATGACTTGTTACATACTTCACAAACATAATGCTTTTCTCCTGTATGAATAAGAGTATGAATTTTTAAATCAGCTTTTTGTCTAAATGACGTTTTACATACTTCACAGACATGAGGTTTCTCTCCTGTGTGAATAAACATATGTTTCTTTAAATAACGTTTTTCTCTAAATGACCTGTTACATTCCTGGCATATATGAAGTTCTTCTTTTGTGTGAACATGCATATATTGATTTAATTCAATCATTTGTTATACCACATGTGACCTTTTTTCTATGTTGATATATATGTACATGTTTTTTTCAAAATGATCTCTTTTCTTACTCGACTTTCTACACAATTCTAGGACATTGGGTATCTTTTTTATGTGTAAAATAATTTTTCTTAGAGTCACCTTTTCGCCAAAATGAGCATGTTAAAAACCCTATACCCTTCAGTATGGACACACATAAGACTTATTGTTTTCCTGAAATGACTTGTTATATACCTAACACATCCTGTTTCTCTTCAGTGTGAAAAAGCATACAGTTTAAATAACTTTTTTGGCAAAATGACTCGTTCAATTCCTCCTGTACATAAAAATTCCTCCCTGCACACATAAATATGTACTTGTTACTGTTTCAATTTCATTCAACTTGTTACTATGTTATGGTGATATTTATGTTCTGCATCAATACAAGTGCAATTGGTTTAAACCTTTATCCAAATTATTTCTTTAATGCTTCACACTAATTTTTTTTTTAATCTACTGGAAATACACATTTTATTACCTACGTGAAAACATTAATGCACATTGGTGTAAGAGGCTAAGAGGCTCATCTCTCATATAATATAAGCTTACCTCAAAATCCAGTAAATCTCTATTAAAAATCAATTTTTTAAAATTTGCACCAATAAGTTTTCGTGCCTAAATATATATAACTCTTATACATGAATTTAAGCAATGATTTGTAACATGCTCTATTATGTATAAAGTTTCATTTCTGCTTTCTAATAGTTACAGCTCATTAATTTCCATTAAAATTCACTATACACTGAAAAACAAATGAACCAGTGCACATTTTACATACGGATATAGGAAAATCAATTTATATTTTTTTTATGTACGTTTGATACGCTTCCTCAAAGTGAAATTTCGGTCCTACAGGAATAGTTTTTCCCATTTTACCCTACCTAACATACGAAGTATTTTACAATCGAGAACAAAAAAATTTATTAACTTGTAACAAAAGTGCTGTTCTTTTAAAACTCGAAACTCACGTTTTACACTAAACAGAATTTCACTCTTCGTGTAAAGAAAACCGTACAAAAAATACCAAGTTCACATTCAAAATTTGACAGTTCTTTTCAGGTACAGAGGCAAAGGGAAAAAAAAAACATCGTCTTGTTTTGTACACCTGTTAAGTCTTTTTGCCTGCAGGGCGAATAATTAAGTTTAGTTATTGTTTGAAAGAAACTTTGTTTCTACTATTCAGCCACTAAATTGAGAGTCAGAGCACTGGATTCGCGAATTATTAGTAAATTAACAATAATAAAAATGAATATCCTTCATATTGTTTCAAAACCATAAATCGCCAATTGCAATAATCGGATCATACCTCTACCCACATGGGAAGCCACATATATTTAGATTCGTAGTATTAGATTTGTAGATTTGGCAACGCGTTTGATTACATGGTTTGGCGGTGAATTGAAAGAAGTTTAGGTATTATTGCTCATTCTTTTATTCTTATTTTTAATGTTATAAAATGTACTGCTATGCAAAAGAAATTCATGTTCTTTATTTTATACAAGCCCGTACCAACAATAGGTGCAAGGTCTTGTCGCGCACGATAGCGCCGGTTAATCATTAAAACAAGTAGTTCGTCTTGCTTCCTGTTCGAACAGAAAAATTCTTCTCTTATTTGAACGCCCTTCGAGGGGTCGATTCAGGTAAAACCTGGGAAGCTATTGATTAGGATCTTTACCTAGGCAGTCTCTGCCATGGGTGTTTAAAATCAGTCTCCATAGGACTTGAGTCATCGCGATGGCTGTTTCAGGCTCGGCAGGGACCATATGGCATTGTCGTACGTTCCGCTGGTTGTAGTTAGATATTCAGGTTGATCTTTACATTATGGTAACTTGGCGTTTTTTTGGCGAAAATTTGGCGACCAACTCTACTACAGCAACCCTCTATTTTTTTTTTCCCGCCGCCATTTTGTCTTCACGAAGTAAAGACATGTTTCTTTTCTTTTTATCTACTGAACACTTCTTCCAACAATCTAGTAGCCGAATTACACTTATGCTAGAAATTTTATCTAACAAAACTGCTTAATCATGACAAATATTCCCTCCCTGCAAAATTGGGAAAAAGTGCCACAATACCATACTCCGTTTTTCAAAATAACACATACACATAAACCATGTACACGCCGACTTATTTTTTTTCCTTAAAAAAACATCCCAGAATTGCACAAAAATGGCATTGCGCACACTCTTCACTATATCCATGTACGCTGCTTTTTTTCTCATAAATTAGAAAAAAAAATTTCACGAAAATACATGACAATTTTCTCAATCTTTAAACCCGGTAAAAAGACCATATATGAAATTACCTGATCGCGAAAAAGTATTTACCCTTTCCAAATATGAACATTTCCACATATAAAATAAATAAAATATCCAAAAACTTTTACCTCTAAATCATCTGTTACATTATACACGTCACCAACGAATTCACACCGCAAGCATTACAAATACTTAGTGTCAGATATTTAAATTATTTCCATGCACGTTTACTTCAACTTAAACGTATACCAAATTCCAAACATATAATTCACAAAATAACTATCATTTAATTAAAATATCACTAAACCATGTATACGTCGACTTATTTTTACTTAAAAAAACATCCCAGAATTGCACAAAAGTGGCATTGCGCACACTCTTCACTATATCCATGTACACTGCTTTTTTCTCATAAATTAGAAAAATTTCACGAAAATACATGACGATTTTCTCAATCTTTAAACCCGGTAAAAAGAACATATATGAAATTACCTGATAGCGAAAAAGTATTTACCCTTTCCAAATATGAACATTTCCACATATAAAATAATAAAATATCAAAAAACTTTTACCTCTAAATCATCTATTACATACATTATACACGTCACCAACGAATTCACACCACCGCAACCATTACAAATACTTAGTGTCAGATATTTAAATTATTTCCATGCATGTTTACTTCAACTAAAACGTATAACCAAATTCCTGCAAACATAAAATTCACAAAATAACTATCATTTAATTAAAAATATAATTAAATTCAAAAACACTACTTAAAATATTAATGAGCACATACATTAAATTAATAAAAATTACCTTACAATCCTAATTACTTTAAACTAAATCATTGCTAATAACAATTTTCCCAATAATATCAAATTCCTTTACTTCCACCTTACATTTAGAACAATGCATAAAAATATTATCCTCAAATAATTAAAAATACTAACTTACCTAATCTTCTTCAGAATCTTAATTACGTGTCCGATAAACTTTTCTTCTTTCTGTTTCAGGATCTTTAAAATCATACTTATATTTCACAGCAAGGTAGCAGGTAAAAGAAATAACTTAATAAAGCATCTTTATTTCTATCTCGTACAACCTTAAAAAAACATTTATTACTACCCTTTTCAATTCCACTAAATACCCATATTCCCACTAAATACCCATTTCGAATTCACTTTAGTTAGGGCCATGGGATCCAAAATTCACGAACACTGTTTCACAAACCACACAGAATGAAGCCAAATACAAAATTTCCAGAATTTTTTCCAATTTCCCCCCTTTTCCGATTAAAGAACCATAATTCGTCCATTAATATCACATGACATATCCCATGATCTCTCATTTCCCTCACACAAAATAATGCGTAATCGGAACTGAGTACTGCTCACATTATTACCAAAGTCCCAGGTAGTAACCTTTATTGCCTCCAAAATGTCGCCAAACTACCAGTTACCATATTGTAAAGATCAACCGATATTCACGTTTAATCCTAGTATCCGGTGCACACGGGATTTAGCTACTTTTGGCGACTTTATGATGAGCAGTAAAAGCGGGACATATACGATGAGTAGTAAACGGGTCATTCAAAGAATATATATAGTTATACATAGTATATACTTATATACACACATAGTATATATACATAGACATTCTTTGGATCATTTTTGGTGTTGGCGATAATTTTCAAAATCGCGCCAAGGCTGCACCGTATACTAGGATTTTACCAATATTCATTGTTGTCGAGGCAAAACAGCCCTGTCCGTGGAACTGGTTTAAACTGCTTGAGATTTCCAGTGGGAGTCTAGAGCCTCAAAACTACATATTCATATTATTCCTTGGTTTCGCTTTGGGGCATCTAAAGCCTAAACGTATAACATGACATAGTAATACTGACATCTGTATACAGTGACGTAGTGTTAGCAGACCGGATTGGTGGCCCGGTCTGTCAGTGTTTAAGTGACTTCGTTCTGCTGACCTTATTTGCGGCCCCTGTTGGTGGCAGATGATTTTACCATCTCTCTAGAACAGGGACGTGGAATGTGAATTGCTGAGTATTCCTGTCGACTCAGTCTTAGTTCATTGGCTCGACCAATAGGTTAGCGGTCCCCTTGATCCCTCTAGGGGTTTGGGCATTTAACTGTGTTAGGCAGCCTCGAGCTTGCCAGGTTTGAGTGCCACTTCCTCCTAGCACACTGTCTTATTTGAATGAAAGTTATAACCAGGGCAGGAGTTTGTCTCTGGTGTTCTCGTCTATCTAATTTGAATGTGAAAATACGGAATGCCAATGCGTATGTAAAGGTAGATGCATTAGAAAAATTGCTTAATCCTTATTTTGTGTCTGCTGTTGCAAATGTAGTAATTTGTGCAACATTTATCTTTTTTGCGATTGCTTGTTGTTATTGTTTTTCTACATAAAAAATGTAAGTGCAGTTACATATTATGTTAAACTTGGGTTAACTTTTTAATTCAGAAAAGCAATGATTTGAGCATGATTTCTCATAAACTGCTTACCTCTTATGTTTGAACCATTTTCGTAAACTTGGCCGCCATAAATTACTAATATCTAAACCATTTTCCTCTGAATTCTTTAATAAGAATGTTCATCCTTCACCGGCCGTATCTGTTGTAACACAAAATACTAAAGCTTTTCTTGAATACTCATGTGTATATTTTCTAAATCAAGGTACCTCATACAAATTAATACTATCTGCTCTTGATGGCTGGAATCAGGGATACAATCAAGTAAAATAGAAAAATACTTTGCCTGTTTGACCTTACTTAAAATAATTTGCTTTATATTATCCTCTAATAAGCTAATTGTTTTATTTAGAATTTTATCTTCAAGAAGGTAATGAAGCATATTTTTCTTTTTTTAGATTGAATTTTATTAGTATAGACAGACATAATAGGGTTAAATTTTGTGATACTTTCTACACACTTTAAAAAATTATTTCTATCAAATAACTTGTTACTGGAACAGCGGAAAGTTAAGTTTTGTTCAGCTAAAAACTGAATGGCATAGGTAATTCTTTCAATAACATTGCTCCAATGCTTAGTCTCTCTCTTCTTTTTTTTTTTTTTTTTTTAAATAAATTTTGAAATTTCGAATCAACAGGTTAATTCTTTAATAATCTTTCTAAGAAATTGGACCAAAGATGTAGATTCCGGAAATGCATTTTATTTTTTTATAAAGTTTTAAGAGCTCATTTAAGTGCTTCTATTCGTTAAATTCAGAACTACTCAGTTTTGCGTTGCTGAAACTGTTAAAAATTTTGCAACAAAAACAATAAACAGAATTTTTTTCAGCAGAATTTAGCATCTTATCCCTTTTAACTCTTTCGTTGTTTGGCAGGATTCGACAAAAGTACATCTAAAAACATTTACGTCCATTTTTGTCTTGGGAAACTGAAACTCGAAACCAGGTTATTTAGGACCATTTTCTATTAAGGCCTTGAACTTCGGATGGCAATAATAGACTTGGACATAATCCGGACTCACCAGGAACAGGCAAATGTGTATCTACTGCAGAAAGTGTATAATTCACTAGTATTTCTTCTTCTTCTTTTTTTTTTTTTTTTTTTTTTTTTTTTACCATCTGCATTAAAGGTAATTCCTGGGTGAAAACACTTTCTAACTCTTTCTGATTATTAGGTTCTTTTGGCAATTTCAATGGCAGCCGAGATGTTGATGGGCAACTAGTGCTAGTAGGGTCAGTTTGGGTATTCTCTGGGTTTTGAAAAAAACTGAGTAATTTAAGTTCTGGTTTTCCTCTCAGTTTCTTTTTCTTCATTGCATTTAATACCTCAGACAGTTTTTGTGTGTGCATGTTTCTTCCGATATCTGAGGGAAAATGAAAACAGAAAAAGCAGAAGTAAATATAAATATAGGAAAAAACTATTATAAGAACTATTACATAAAAAGCCTTTTAATAACATTCAGAAAGTCACTGTTCGAAACATTTTACCTTACTTCTGAAAAGCAGTATATCTTGAACCATTGCTTGTAAAATATATAAACTATTAGTTCAATATCAAATAACTCAAGGAAGTGGTAGTACTCTTCTGTTTTAGTAAATAAATCCAATGTAAAGTATGTATTTAAGAGGTAATGAAATAATGAAACATTTTCCTTTGGTTTTCCATATAGCTAAAAATCGGAAAATGGCCAATTTTTGATTTCAGAATACTATATTTATATTTCTTCAAATCTCAAATAGGTATATTTTAAATTCAGTAGTACTCCATAAATATGTCAATCCTTTCTTCTCGAAAGATAATAAGTTTTAGTTTAATAAACAAATGATTCATGTCAAAAAAATTTTTTGCGAGTAATTATTTTTACATCATCGTTTTTCTTAATTAAAAAGCTAAACTAGGTTTAACATACTATGTAACTGCACTTACCCTTTTTGTTTTTCATGTAAAATGACAATAACAACAAGCAAACGCCAAAAAAAGCCACAAAAAGATTAATGTTGCACAAATTACTACGAATGCAACTGCAGACACAAAACAAGGGCTAAGCAATTTGTCGAACACGTCTACGGCGCCCCCTGTACCTTTATACATCAGCATCTTGTATTTCCTTTCACATATACAGTCAAAAGTCGTTAATCCAGACTCGTCGGGACTTCAGCTATTCCGGATTATAGATCATCAGTTTAAATCTGGTAAGATGGCACGCAGAAATTATAAAATTAAAAATATGAAACCGTAATTTATGAAATAAAGAACAATTATGATCTAAAGGGTATCAAAATTTACAAAAAAAAAAAAAAAAAAAAAAAAAAGCTTAATATTTATTTGTTTACTTTATTAAACATTTCTTTCAATGTAAGTTGTTTAAATTGCTTCGTTTTTTATGTGATAATACATTCTCTTTAATTCTATAAACAGACATAATTTCTTGTTCAGTTACAAAGTTCCGCTGTTCAAGTCCCATAATTGTTGTGTCGAGAATACCGACTAATTTGTCAATCGAAATTTTTTCTTTTTCAATAACCTCTGTTACTTTCTTTGCTATCGAAAGCGAATTATAATGACGAGGAATTTGATTTAAATCATATCAAAGACAGAGTACATTGAGATGAAATACTACATTTAGTAAGGAATTATAAGCCAAATAAAATAAAAACATCTGCCCTGAAGATAAGGATAGTGCTGACAGATCAACTTCCAATTCATTGCGTGCCGCGGCGTTAAAGAAACACAAAGTTTAGATAAACAAACGTTAAAGTTTAGATAAACAAAGCATATGCCTTTATCCATTTTTTGCAGCAATTCCACTTTTTGTTTAATGGACTTCGAAACATACTTTTGCTTTTTAGATCCTTTACATATTAGTAAATATATATCAGAAATTCTATTTATCATAATCGAAAGTTCAAGCTTACTTTTATAAAATTGCTCTAACAGTCTGCAAAAAATAATAAGCCGAATCCAATTCGAAGAACAACGCAATATGCAACATTAACTGAATTAGATAATTTTGCTTAGCTTATACCATCCGTTATACATTAAACGCGCATTCGTAAACGTATTTTGCGCACGAGCACAAGCATATTTGCAACTGTAAAGGTCAACGCGACGCATGCGCAGAAAGTTTTTAGCTTTGAGGTCCGGATTATGAGTGTCCGAATTAACGACTTTGACTGTATTTACAAGATCAGCTCAACTTATGTCAAAAACTGCAAAAAGCATTAACTGATAAAAATCAAAACGATATAAATAGTATATATTGGTACGTTTCCATTTTGCTGGCGCAAGCGATAAAATCGCCAAAAATGGTACAACCAATGACAAACAAAATATCCTGTCTGGTAACCTTTTACGCCTCATATTCAAAACAAGTTGCAGCCATTTCTTATCAGATTGATTGTTTCTTTCAATACTGGCATACAATTAAATAGAATTTTTACCAGATAGTTCAATTTTATGCCCTAAGGCCATTTGCAGTAATTCATTCAATTAGAATGCAATCACACTGCTCATCCGAAGGTTAAAATATAGGAAAGGCAAAGGGCTAAATTCATCAATTCTAATGAGAATGCACTAGCGAAGTAAAGCACTGTGGTTGTACATAATTTGAATAAGCTATTAGTATGAATTGAAATAATTCTTGCATTTAAACTTGTATTTCAAATTAAGATTTAACTTCAAATTATTGTAGATAATTACTGAGACAATTAGATTTTTGTAGCATAGTTTACGTGAAATGAGATCACTTGGGGTCACGTGATATGAAACGGCGAATCAGTATGTTGTGCCATGAAAGCATAGTAAATTCTTAAATTAATGTCTTTTTCCAAATTTATTGTCTTTTTACAAAATTTTAAATGCTATTAAAATGTTTATGCCTTCAAAATAAAAATTTCTTAGAACTAACATTTTTTTTGTGTCTATACTGTGTGTTGTTGCCTATAAAGTTTGCTTGGCGAGATTTGCGCCAGCGAAACGGAAAAGTACTGTATAGATCTTAAGCATGAGCTTAGAGGAAATGTAGCATCGTCGGTTGAAATTCCATGCTATATCGATGTCAACAACATAGCCATATGCAGAAAGAAATTTTGGATATATCTCTAGATATCAGCTCTAAAGCATTTTTTGTGCCATTGTAATTACAGCTTGAACCTTGTTGTAAACTATGCTGCGAACAACAATTTATTCAGTGCAAACTTATTAGATATCTAAATTAATTTGTTTTTAATTTTAAGATAATAAGTAGTATTCAGTAATATATTTGGTATCTAACGCATTTAGGTATCCAATGAAGATACCAATTTGGTATCCAATGGCGACTACTTCGCTTTGCTTGCAGTGTTACATTTTATAACATGTTGTTGTTGACTAATGCTCACTTGTCTGACCTATAGTCAGCCCAAGCCCACGAAATTCGTTGTGGCAAGGAGCGCAAGGTACGCCTGCCATTGGCAACAGCCTTGAGCACCTCACAGGAGCTCAGTTGCGCCCCCAATTTTGATGGAGAGCATTCTGGGGGAACGGGTCCGAGCGTCTCCCACCCCTCTTCCCCTACCACCAGCCTTTCGAGAAAACTTTTGCCTCGCATATTTAGAGTGTCTCCATGCCGAACGGATACAATACATTTACAAACATGCATACCTTTTTCGAGACTCGATCCTGGGCCCTTCGGCACGGCAGTCAGCAATGCTAACCACTATATTGGCTGGGCGGCTTTTTGTAACATAAATATATGTATAATTCTTCAATAAATCTGTTTGAGTGTCGGTTTTAACAAAGCACAAAATGTTTGCATATTTAGACAAAGTAAAAAATAGAATCTAATATTTTTGCTTTTTCATATTATTATGTTAATAATGCTTCATTTTAAATATTAACAATAAGCAATGTCTCTTTAATATCGTCACTGCATAAAGGCACTCGCTAGACATTTGCACAATGGCGCTGATTAGGCTTGGCACAGGCCTGCCTTTATATCTAACTAGGAAATAAATCACATGATTAAAATATAAATTAGTTATTTTTTTTCAAACTTGGATTCAAATTAAACTGTGTTTTTTTGCTTCTGATCTAAAATATGTTCTTAAGAATTATTGTAGGTAGACAAGTAAAATATGTACTATATTTAGAGTTCATGGTTTGATCCCAGTATGCGGTACAGATGGGATTTGGCGACATTATGGTGATCAGTAAATACTGTTTTTATGATGAGCAGTAAATGAGTCATTTTGGTGTTGGCGACAATTTTCAAAATTGCACCAAGGCCGTACCGTATGATAGGATTTTACCGAGTTTGTTTCTTCTTATAATTAATTTTTCTGCGCCTGTTCTTCATAAAGTTTGTTCTTTTTATGTTCTAATCCATGTTTTGATGGAGTATTTTTTATATTATTATGTATATTAATTTAAAACAGATGAATTATATATGCCATATTTACTCACGTATTTTTCGTTTGGCTCTGAGAGTATTTTAAATATTCACGCAGTTTTTCCCTTTCTTAAAGTGAGCTTCTCTTAATTTTAAAATGGATTCAGTAAAAGTTTACAGTTGGGTGCTCCTTGGATTTTTTTGGTGATTCTTTTGACACCAAGATCAGTGCCAGGAAGGCACAATTTCAAGATGACCGCAACACAGAAGCAAAATAAGAGTTGCAAACTCGGTGTCTATGTACACATTGATCTATTTTCACTTAAAAAAAAATCAGAGAATTGCACAGACTCGACATTGTGCACTCCCTTTCGACTCCCATGTGCACATCAATCTATTTTCACTAAAAAAAAATCAGGAAGCTAAAACTAAATTTAAACTATCGTGGTAACCAGAAATGAGGTTTCATCAACAAAACTGAGCAAAATTTGGCACCAATCGAAAGGGTCCCCAATTCTACACAAGAGCCATGGATTCAACCACATAGTGACTACTTGATTTTCTCGAGGATTTTGAGTGCATGAGCCGTGATTGATGAAGCAATAATAGAGAAGAGCTTCAAGAAAACAGGGATATCTGATACTCATGATGGTTCTAAAGATTGTTGCACATGGGAAGGCAGATTGAGTAACAATCGTGACAAAAAACTGCAAACTATTGCAGATATGACATCAGTTCAAGCAGCATTAAATGATTTGTGGCCTAGGGAATAGCAGTGGACTAAATAAAAGTAGATGAGGTACAGGAAGTAGAAATGAAAATATCATAGTAAATATTGGTAATGTTAGTATTACCAGGTAATCTTATTGGAATTAAATAATATTATGTTAGGTACTTATGGTTTATTGTCCTTTAGAAATTAAGTTATTCGCATAACTTTTCCTTCTCAATTTTTGTGCAATAAAATTGGTAAAAAGGGAAGAAATATGTGAGTAAATATGGTATATGATTATAGTTTTCAATGTACATACTGAAATTTGATGAATATGGCTTACCTCAGTATATACTTACTACTTTTGTGGCTTTTAGAAAATTTGCTATTTGTATTCAATGGCTCAGTTAAAAGGATCAGCAGAGTTCAGTGAAATTCAAAATGAAATAGGTAAGAATTTTTTTATTTCTAATTCATCCTAACAGAAGTTTGACACGTATGCATATATACATATATATAGACAGAGAAAAAGGTATAGATATATTATGTGTTTCTTATTTTGGTTGCTGTTAGAAAAAGTTACATCTTTGTGTTCGGAGGTTCAATTAAATGAATCATCAAACTGTGGTGAAGCTCAGAAGGAAACTGATAATGGATTGAGTGTACTTCATCCAAGTAACATTTCAGGTAATACAAATATATTTATATATACTGAGTTATTCAGAATGATGTACAGTATTTTAAAAAACTAAAAAATTCATTTTTAGAGAGACTTACCAGAATGGATTTAAAAGGAAGGAAAACTCAAATATTTTCTTTTCCCCCCAGCCTGCGTTGAGTACAGAAAGGATGGTGGCACTCCATTTGCTAGAATAAAAAAGGAAATCTCAAAAAGAAAAGGTGTTTTGCATCTTGCAGGGTGCAAAATCAGAATCACTAATTTTGGTCAAACGTTCGTACAATACAAAGTCCAAGATCCAGACATCCAATATCGGGAATGATCTAAAATCGTAACCTTAAAGCCACCAACAAAAAGTATTTTAGGAATTTTTTTTTATGCTTTAGACATGTGCATTTGATTTCTTTTTCATGTAAGAAAACATGTGGAGAATCCTAATTCTTAATTTCACTTCGGCAATAAATAAAACACCTTGTTATTGAAGAAACAATCATTTTAGCATAAATTTATGTGATCTATAATTTGGCTCCGTAGCTTGCGTATCTGCTTGGCATACATCTTAAATATATTATCTAATATTTTATATCCCTGATGCCAACCTGGCGAATCATTATTAATTATATTTTGCTTTCATCACCGTATGTTTATCAATACATGATAACTTAAGTCATCCAGCGCACCCTAAACAATTTTTTTTATATTAGTAATTGAATAGCAAAGAGTATGGAAATTTTTAAGTTAAATGTGCTAAATGTTCACAAGGAAAAATTTAACAAAAATTTCTTTCCATGTGCTAAAAATAGAATTTGTTAATGATACTCAGAGACCAAAAAATTATTACTTTTTGAATTAAGAATAACTGTTTTTTTATTCACGTAAACCCAGAACTGATGCCAGAGCTCATATGACCTCACCGGGCAGCAGAATTTAGGGAAGATAAAATGGTAAAAGTTTACAATTAAGTGCCGCTTGGTTTTTTTTAAGATTCTTTTTTGACGGCAAGATCGGCGCCGTGAAGCCACAATTTCAAGATGGCCATTACATAGAACCAAAATAAGAAGTCAAGGAATTGCACAAACTCGGTGTTCATGTACACATCAATCTATTTTCATTCGAAAAAAAAATTCAGAGAATTGCACTAACTAGGCATTGTGCACTGCCTTTGTCCATGTACACATTGATCTATTTTCACTTACAAAAATCAGCTGAAACCAAGTTACTATCATGGTAACCAGAAACGGGCTTTCATTGTAAAAACTGAACGAAATTTGTCGCCATTTGAAGGGGCAGCCAATTCTACACTAGAGGAGATAAAATTTAGAGAAGCACCAAGTAACAAAATTAAGGGGTGATAAAATTTTTAGAATTTAGGGAAAGAACTGGGACCCAAAATTAAGGGATGGCAAAAATTTAGAACTTGGGGAGGTGCTTGGCAGAAGAATTTAGGACCCGCAGAGGCTGCATCAGGCGGCAAAATATCTAGCGCCAGCTCTCAGTAAGCTCAAGTATATGTAGGAATTTATTTATTCAGGGGTCGGCCTTAAGCATGTGCAAGTATTAAATGTAAGTATAATAACTAAGAAAAAATAACTAAATTAATACAATTCAGGCTTAATTGTCTCAGTGCGCGTTAGAAGCAAGGCAAAATTTAACACAACATATCGCCGCCATGTTACATAGTCAATCATGTATAGCGGATGCTGTTAAACTAGGTTAAAATTATACTTTACCAATTCCAAAGAATTTCAATTAATATAGCAGATTGCAATGTTCTTTAACTTTCTGATTTGATTCAGCTTAATATTTTTTTATTTTTATATTTTGCAGCAATTTTATGAAAACTAAAGTTTGAACTTTCGATTCTGCTAAAAAAAAAGTTTCTAATTCTGGAGCTGCAACAGGATCTATAAAGTGAAAGCATGTTTCAGTGTCCATTAAACAAAAAGTGGAATTGCTGCAAAAAATGGAAATAAGTGTATCTGTCTGAAAATTATTCAAGGAGTATGGCATCGGAAAGTCAACTGTATGTGGCATAACAAAAAATGGAACTTTATGAATTTTTGTGGATCCCGACACCCCACTCTCAATGAATAACAGAAAAATTATTTGCTATGCTAAAAGAGAGGATTGAATGGTTAGGCACAGACGCAACAAGAGCATGCCATTGACGGGTCTAAAGCTCTTTGGTGTTTAAAATCTTTGTTTCTTTTATAAAAATTATGTTCATTGATTTTATATTAGCATCCCCAAATCTGCCAAAATGCAATAAAAAATATAAATAAATTTTCACGTTATACCTTTTTTGGAACTAAAGCTTTAAATAGGATCTGATTTTCAATTTCTAAGAAGGTTATCCAGAACACTTATAGATCATATTGCTCCCTTAAAGTTTGTAACATTATTACTCCATATAATTGAGGGTTTAGTTCAGACATGCTGAAAATGGCTTCAGTAGACAAATCAAGTGATATTTCTAAATTTTGTATTATAGAATGTAAATATTGCAACATATGATTGCTTCATCTTCTAAATTAGGGGTACTTACGTATTATCGCAACCAGGTTGGCGCGATTTGTAAGTTTGAGTAAAAAAGTATGAATAGAAAGAAAATGTACATTTATTAATTACAGATAATTTTTAATACAGTTTTTTATATTATTTTGTTTTAAAATATAAAATAGCAATTAAACCCTTCCGGTTTCAAATTTGAATAAGTTGCAGAATTATTTTTTCGACGGAAATCTTTTGGCTATTGCTTTTAGCACTGATTGAAAACCGTCTTCGCCATTGTAATTATTCCAATCTATAACAGTCAGCAATTCCCATCTCTTCTGCACAAAATTTAATTGAGGTTAACTCTTTACACCAACAATAAATGAAGCGAACAAATGAAATTCGACTACCTTCAAACCAATTTCCGGTTCTCACACCCATATGTTGATTGCACTCTTCGACGTTACATTTCCAGAAGATTTGCTTTCCAAAATACAGTTTCATTTTAAAAATAATTTCTTAACGAAAAACTACGTATAACACGTAGGGTTGTCGTAAGTAGGGTCGCCAAATTTGGTGATTTATGCAAATTTTGGCCTGGTTGTGTTAATACGTAAGTACCAAATTAGGTTTGGTGATAACTGTTTTTGCAAAAGCCAATCCTATTTGTTTAAAAGGCTTAGCTGTTATTTTCTCCAGGTAAATCATTCGTCATTTGGTTTATACAGTCAAAAGTCGTTAATTCGGACACCCATAATTCGGAATGATCTATAATCCGGACCTCAAAGCTAAAAACTTTCTGCGCATGCGCAGCGTTGACACATTCGCATAGGCGTTTATGCGTGCGCGTAAGACTCTTACGACTGCGCATTTGCGTGTGCGCAAGCGCAGAATACGTTTTAGCATGCGCGTTTTATGTATAACGGACGGTGTAAGCTAAAATTATCTAATTATCTATTTCAGTTAATGTTGATGATTGCGTTGTTCCTTAATTTTCGAATTGGATCCGGCTTATTATTTTTTGCAGACTGTAAGAGCAATACTATAAAAGTAAACTTGAACTTTCGATTATGTCAAATAGAATTTTTGATTCTGGAGCTCCCAAAGGATCGTACAAAACGAAAGTATGTTTCGATGTCCATCAAACAAAAAGTGGAATTGCTGGAAAAAATGGATAAAGACATGAAGATGGTGACAGAGAGGTTAGTGAAAACGAAAAAATTTCGATTGACAAGTTAGTCGGTATTCTCGGCACAGCAATTAACGGGACTTGAACAGCGGAACTGTGTAAGTGAACAAAAAATTATGTCTGTTTATAGAATTAAAGAGAAAGTATTATCACATAAAACGAAGCAACTTAAACAACTTACATTGAAAGAAATGTTTAATAAAGTAAACAAATAAATATTAAGCTTTTTTTTTTTTTTTTTTTTTTTTTTTTTTTTTTTTTTTTTTTTTTTTTTTTGTAAATTTTGATACCCTTTAGATCATAATTGTTCTTTATTTCATAAATTACGGTTTCATATTTTTAATTTTATAATTTCTGCGTGCCATCTTACCAGATTTAAACTGATGATCTATAATCCGGAATTGCCGAAGTCCCGACGAGTCCGGATTAACGACTTTTGACTGTATTTTGATTTCTTGCTCAGAGGCAAGTCTTGCATTTATTTATAACTTGTTAAACTCTATCTTCCCAGACAGTATCCAGTATAATTGTCTAATAAGGAGAACTGTTTGATTGTCGAATGAAGTGACTTCTTGTGTTTATAATCTATGGTTAATTTAGTTAAATGATGCTTTTTTGGCTAAACAGTATCTTTAAAGTATATCTTAGGTAGAACTTCATTGTCTTATGAAGAAATGTGTATTATTGCAGTATAAACTGAAGTTGTTACTAATTTTATTTCTATAACCTATGTCTGCAATGAAGCAAATTCTCTTTCACCATCTCATTTGATAACTTGATCTAGACTATTTTTACGTGGGCTTGAATCTAAATTAGAATCCACAAGATCTCAATTGATTAAAAGGTGGAAAACTGGGCAGTTACTATTTGAGCTTTTTTTTTTTTTTTTTTTTTTTTTTTGTAAAGTTTTGTAAAGAATATTTACTAGAACTGAGACCAATTACGTTTTCAAAAACTGTAAATTCTCCTGTGCTTAAAATTAATAATAGACTTTTTAACTTTGAAGTTCATTAAAACTGATGCATCGGCTATGGATGCATGAGGAGAGATGAGTGCTAAATATAATAATTTGCTAAGAGATGGTGGTAGTCTAAAATAAACTATGATGTCGTATTCATATATATGTAGATGTTCACCTTTAGTGTTTATCAATAAAACATTGTATAGAATAATGCTTTCTGTTTGTTATCTTAAATTTGATACAGTCTTATTAAACAGAGACTTATGCATTTTCTTCAGCAAGGTTATTTCTTCGGCATTGGTTATTTGTGCATAAAAGTCTCACAGCATCCCTATCATCAGGCAAGAAAAAAATTTTGGGGAAAGCGCGTTCAATATTGACAGGGAATGCTATATTGTATTATTAAGATTATATTAATATCTCTAACAGAGGTGGATTTCAATTAGAACTGGAATAGACAATTGCTCAATTCATTTTTTGTATACCTGGATGCATTAAAAGCAGCTATTAAGGGTTTGTAAGGTCAAAGAACTGGCCAATGGGGCATGTAAGAAATTCTGGTTTCAGCAGAATTTTGATTTCTTTCTTCGCCTATACCCATTTTTAAATACTTTGGTATAATTCTTTGATCATAAGAATAGTATGTAGCACTGTTTCCTTCTGTATCTTTGCTTACAAAAGTCAGACTGAGTGGGTTTTGTTTGCTTTAAAACAATAACAAAATATATTCTATAAAATATATTTAATATATAAAGATAAAACGCAGCTTATGTTATTGTTCATTTTAATAGGATTAGGTGAATTTATTGAAAACTGTCTTGATTTTGGTAGTACTATAATTGCAGAGTAAATGTCCATTGTGACATCAAAATATTAATATCATGTCTGTTGTTGATAATCTGGATATTTCTTGATTGCATACCTAAATATGACTATTGTAATAATAACAAAAATTTATTTGGGAATTAGAGTGATAATACTTCTTTCATGAATTGAATTTTTTTTTTCTGTGTTTTTAATTTTGTTTTCTTATTTAAATATATCTTTAGATCCTCTACCTTGGGATGATTACTTCATGAGTTTGTGTTTATTAACTTCTGCTAGGAGCAAAGATCCCAATACTAAAGTAAATATTTTTTAATATGTATAAAATACATTTTTCAATTTTAAACTCTTACAAGTAAGTTGTGTAAGATCTTGCAGAAACTTTGCAGTGTGTAATTTCCTGCAATCCATAAAATATACCTTTTGTTCTAACTTTACTAAAATAAAACATGCAATCAATATGCTGCCTCTCTTTTTTTTTTTTTTTTTTTTTTTTCTTTTCTTCTTCTGATAAAAATTTTAGAATTTGTAATTTTTTTAAAATTTATTTATTGTTTATTTTGAAATTCTCTTGTGAAACAGAATCATTTTTCTTTAAATATACATTTAATGTGGAAGTATAATTTTACTGCAAATATGATCCTAGATGTTTCTGAAAAATGATTGAAAAGTGTAAATGAACCAAAAATGACCAGATATTTTAGATATATTTCAAAATTTCTAGAGAAATCCTTCACAAATTGTTTGGTACTCCAGCCTTGTAAATAACATACTCAAACTGAAACTTTACATTAAATATTCAATCGTTAGTTCATTTAGGGAACTAACCAGAAAGAAAAGTATTTTTCATCAGCTTGCATTTAAAAGAAAAGAGAAATGATCTGTAACCTTCACAAAATATTTTACATGCTATGTTCTTGTACATTTTTATAAAAAATAACATGCATATTAATAAAGAAGTAAAAATATCTTTTCTCCCCCCCCTCCTGCATGTTATATATATATATATACACCATGCTGAACTTTCAAATAATTTAACAAAACTAAACAAAATTCAAGATCAATATTAAACTGAAATTTAAAGTGATAATAAATATTCAGTGTGATATTAACATTTAAAGACAATAATAGTTAACTGTGCATGCATGAAATATATCAACTTTTTTCTTTCATAATTTAGTAGGCAATTAGTATAGACAAATTATATAAAAACTGCATGGGAATATTATGCAGATTTTAATGTAGGGAGTTATTTTGCAATTATTTTTTAATTAGATTGATGATAACTGACTTCATTATTTAATGTTTATTTAAATCTCCGATATCTGTAAAATCTATATGGGGAAAACATAACTTGAGATACACATTTTTGCTTATTTTCATAATAGTGGACTTGTTCACTTGAAAATATGGTTGTTTGTTTTACTACAGAAAACAAACAACCATATTTTATCAGGAAACACAGGGTTTCTTGATAAATAGGAAAAGTGACAGTTTTTGAAAAATCCTTTACCATCCAGTTAGTTCCAGAAAGTAACTGCAGTGCAGTTTACCGTATTGAAATCTTTCCGAATTTCGTGATATTTACTTTTAATTTTTGTAACCTATATGCTTAACTACCAAATTACAAAAATTAAAAAAAATGGTGTATTTTGTGCTTACACAGTTAAACATTTTCTTTAAATAGTCATATTTTATTGATTATTCACTGTTTTCATTTTAGATTTCAGTTTTATATTTATCTTGCATATTTTCTGTAGGTTTCATTAAATTTGTTTGAAAGTTCTGCATATAAAAACCCTTAGACCATTACAGGTTTGACCCTGAAACCCTAATGTTCTCCAAATTGCCCTGAATAAGTGATAGTTTCGTGATTATAATTCCAAAGTTACTGCTTTCTCATTTTACCTTTCTTCTAATGTACATCCAAACTTAAATCCCATCCATCAGGAGTTGGCAGAAATTTTCATGTGTAGTGAATTGGAAAGCCTTCTTTGTATGTGGAATTTTACATCCATAAACATTTTTTTTTTTTTTTAATTATCAAAAGACATGCAAAATTACATGAAAATGACTGATGATGTTTCAAAAGGTGATGAGCTAGAAATAAGATGAGTATATAATTCTTATTGACAAAATTTGCCTATGAAGATGATGAAATGACTGCTTTTAAAGAAAAAATGATGTGTAAATGTTAACTGCATAGATTAAATTTTATTTATTTGTATGTTACAAAAAGTTTTCTTCTTGAAATATTAACACTATTAAATAATGGTAAAAATATACTGAAATCATTCCATACCACTAGATATTAACTGTATGCCTTTAACAAAATTTACTCTAGTGCCTACTTTTCTGCTTAAAATTGAGATTTTACTTATAAATTTAATACCAAAAGTGTTTTCTTATGCCTGTTTTACTCTTTAAAATCGCAATATAGTGAAATTCCATGACAGGAAAAGTTTTTCACACCCTTCTTAGGTTTGGTATAATGAGGTTGGATTGTTTTACTTGTTTAGAGTTTTATGCTTAAATTATTTTAATACTGCTTCTGCTGATATTGTATAAAATGTACATTTTTATAATTATGTCTGTTTATCACTTGAGTGTAAAAAAAGTTATCTGCACTTTTAAACAGCTATCTAATTTTGATTAAGTTTATCTAGAAATTATGGAGAAATTTTAGAGGTTTAATTCTGTAGTAAAACAAATAACCATATTTTTATTCATTGTTTTCAAAATCAAAATCTTTGCTACAGCACATTTTTGGAAATGATGTAACATTCTTAACTTTTAGCCATCCAAAAGGAAAGCAAATGGCTTCCAATAATAAAATTATAATAATATTACATTTTATATTATTTACATACAGCACATGAAAAGTTTTATTATTCATGCATTTTTTATTATGATTATAATACTAAATGAATGCAGTTAGATAGGAATGTCTGTCTGGTTTGCATTGTTATTAAGATATAGTTTTATGTTGTATAAATGTCACACAGGTAATATTTAATATATTGTTATTTATGTGATCAATGTTTAACAAATATCATTTCTTACAGATACATTTTAAAAATTTATTTCCAATAGTAGTTGAATACTTAGCATTTATAGATTTTTGGAATATTGAAATATGATTATTTGTATTTTAGGTTGGTGCATGTATTGTTAATTTTGAAAAGAAAATTGTTGGTCTTGGCTATAATGGTATGCCGAGGGGTATAAAAGATGGAGAATTACCATGGGATAAAACTGCTGATGAAGTATTTAAAACAAAGTATCCATATGGTAAGTAAAAAAAAATATTAAAAAATATTCTTGTATCTTGAAAAACCTGTTCTAGTATTTTGAATAAAATCTTAAGTTTAATGAGAACTATCCAAAGTCACAGATATTTGGTCTAAAAGAAATATAAATTATTTTTAATGTAACACATAACTTAAAACTAATTCAGAAGTCAAACAACAAAAATCAGCGTTATATTTTCAAAATTTTCACAGGACTAGTTTCGATGGTTTTACTGAACCACCATCCTTAGCTGCAAAACCGCAAATGAACAAGATAGGAAATAATGATTAGATAAGATAAGAAAGCCTGAGGGATTCTCAGATAACCGGCACTTGGCGAACTTCCTGAAATCGCGTTCGCCAACTTGGGCGATATGCGCCATGAAGTGGGAGAACAGTTTAGGTTGCTAGTTTAGATCTTCACTACCCTAGGGAGAAAGGGAAAAGCGAAGGGATATTTTCTTTATGTAAATACTTTGCTTTGTCAGCAGACGTGGTGCGTACGCTCATATGCTGTTTGTTGTTCCGTATGATCATTCGCTATTTAATTATTTTATTAGAACAAAATATTATTATTTATTAGACTATTAAAATCTATTAGACGTCTAAATACTATTAAAATCATAATTATTTAATTACCGGAGACGGGCTTCAAGTTGCCATAAACCATACGCTATTTTCGCTATACTAAAAACATTTTAGAAAATAAAATTACTATTAAAATTATTAATGATTTAAAAATTAAATAACTAAGTACTACCAAATTAATTCATAATTATTTAAATAATATTAATACTGCGCTCACAGTTGCCTTATAAATTATTTTCTAAATAACTTAATGAACTTATAAATTAATTACCCTTATAATTAGTACAACAAAGTAGATAACATATAGTCTTTTTCTAACTTATCGTTCGTATGGGCACATTTTTTAAATTATTTACTTAATATTAAAGTATATGGGTGTTATTTATCTAGCCTTAACAAACAGGAATTAATTTCTAAAATAAATTAATTGTACTCCTAAAACGAATTATTTAGAATGAGAAAAGCACTCGCGGGTTATTTCTTAAGATGGCGGAAATCCATTAGTCGAACTACCAGTGTACAACATTTTTACTGCTATCTCGCTGACAAACACTCTGTATCATACAAGCAATTTTTTAATCCCTCCTAATCAAGTTTATATTGAAATAAAATGCTTATAAGACTTTGAAATGCTAATAAGTTAATGTAAAATATTAAAGAAACAATATTCTGCTACTTTTCTAAGTCAAGTATATTTCACTGATTTCTTTACATAGAGGATTTTGGGGAGTTCGGTGTATCAGTAAAAAATTTAAACTATTATACAAAACTTGAGCAAAATTCTTTCACAGATAAACAAATAAAAGTTAATTAAATTTATATCATCAAATCTTTGAATAAGATTTATCTTCATAGATTTTTCTGCTGTGTTGTTACTCATGTTAGTTTTTATGGCAATGAATATAAATATTGAAATTTTTGCATCACCGTATTTGCAACAAATACATAACCGAAATATATTCCTGAAATATATTGTTAGAAATATTGTTTCCCTGCAGTTATGCAATTCAGGATTCTTTGTTTACCTACATGTATATTTGATCTTTTAAAATTTTTAACGTTACTTGCGTGATAAATATTCCATTTGCATGATCTTTATTGCATTTATATGAAGACCCTATTTTTAAACATATTTAGCTATTATTGTTGATAATTGTAGAAATTAATGGTCAGAATTAAAAAGAGAAGTATAAACAGTAAAAATGTTGGAGTTATATATATCATAATCTAAAATACTAAGGTGAAAAAGTATGTAGATTAACTTAACCACATCAATAATTAAATTACTTCTATGTGCATTGTTTACCATTTTTAACGCAAACACGTTACTGTATTTAGCCTCAGGCGATTTTCGCCTAGCACAGGTTTCTCCCCTATATCGGGCTCAAGAGGGAAATTTTGTAAAGCGTCTTTTCACATCAATTCCCTCTTGGCGTCAAAAAAATCCTTCCGAGGATTTGGCAATTTTTGCCGATTCAAGATGGCGGAAAAAATTGCGCCAAGTGCCGGTTATCTGAGTCTTCCCAAAGCCTGGACTAGAATAAGCAAGTGGCGCCATCTGTTGGTGAAACCAGAACTAAAACATAATTTCTTTAAAGGCCGAAGGCAAAGATGGATTGGAATTAGGATCGTTAACTAGAACAGAAAGATTTTTTTAATGTGAATGCCTCTAGAAAATCCACTTCTCCAATGGAAGATATTTTTTGAATAATTTTGGCAGCAGAAAAATTGAAAGTGTGATTTTCGGACCAACAATGTTGAGCAACAGAAGACTTCTGTGTTTCCTTTTTTCTAACATATGCCTCATGTTCCTTGATGCAAAATTTTAAGGCTCTCTTAGTTTGGCCAATGTAAATTAAATCACACTGGCAAGGAATCCTATAAATACCACAGGAATTCATATCCAGAATAGGGTCCTTGAGTATGGAACTCGGAATTTTATTAATGGGAGAATAAACAACCCGAAAGTTAAATTTCTGCAAAATATGTGCAACTTTATAGCTAATTGATGGAAAGAAGGGAATGACAGCAGAATTTTTATAATCTCCTAAAACAAGAGTGTGCCTTTTAGTGTGTTGAGATGGGAATTTTTTAAGTGCTTGATTATTAATGTTGGGTTAAAAGCCCCTGTCAATAGCTATTGCTTTTAAATAATTTAGTTCTTCATCAAGGGATAGTTTGGAGGAGCAAACTTGAAGAGCATGGAAAACATAGGAATAAAATGAAGCTAACTTTTGTTTAGTCAGATTACATGATTTAAAGTGTGGTGGAAGGCAAACCGATGATTGTTTATGGTAAACCATAGTACTGAAGTTGCATGTGTTATGTGTGACCAGAATGTCGAGAAACGGAAGAGAATTGCAAGTCTCAAGTTCAAGAGTGAACTGAATAGAAGGATCAATAGAATTCATTGTTGAAATAACTTTATTTAAATCATCTTTATTACCTTCAAACAGGGTATAAGTATCGTCTACGTAGCGGAACCATACCGGGAAGTTTAAAGTTTCAAACAATTTTGATTCATAACAATGCATGTAGATATCAGCCAGGATCGGACTGAGGGGGCTTCCCATGGCTAATCCCTCAGTTTGCTTGTAATATTTATTTTGGAAAACAAAATTTGTTTGTTTCAAACAGAGTTGAGTGAGAGAAATTAGATCATCAATTTCGATGCAAGAGAAATGAAATTCGCGAAGTCTGGTTTCTAGACACCTTAATGCACCTTCCACTGGAACATTGGTGAATAATGATTTAACATCAAAAGAAACCATGAGTAAATTTCTAGGAGAAGTGTTTTTAACCTTTTTTACAAACTCTGTTGAATTTTTTATATGTATCTTTTATATGTTTTATGGTGTAAATGTTATTGCTTAATAGAGTTGAAAATCTAGAAACTAAATATTTAGCTAATGGATACAAGGCAGTACCTAAATTTGATACAATAGGGCGGAAAAGAATACCACTTTTATGAATTTTGGAAAGATCATATAATCTGGCACAATTCGCAACAGATGGGATTAGCGAATGTTTTAAGTTGCTTGTAATGATTTTTAAGATTTGATCAGAGTTTTTATTTTTGACAGGTCCAAAGGTGAAGGATCTTTAGGGATCGGATTATATGGTCCTTCGTTTAAGTGTTTAGTGACACAATGGATATAAGTGTTCTTATCCATGATGACTATCTGGGCACCTTTGTCGTCCTTTGAAATAATATCTGGGTTAAATTGAATTTCGTGCATAACTTAATATCAGGTTGTAATGAAAGTTTTCGGTCAAAAAATATTCTTAATGAAGTTAGGGAAAAGGAAAAAAAAAACAAAAGCAGTCCCTTTAGTGTTTAGTAATCACCACCCAAATCTATGATTTTCTGCCAACGTTTTGGTAGTTTTTCAAAGCCTTCGATCTGGTAATTTGGTGACTCGAGTCCAAAAAGAGATAACCTCATCTCGAATGTCCTGCACAAAATGGAAGATAGTACCAGCAAGATGTAGCTGCAGGTTTGAAAAAAAAGTAGATGTCTGAAGGAGCGATGTTGGGGCTTTATGATGGGTGTGGGAAAAGATCCCATTCGAGTCCATACAGAGTCTAGCTGGAGAATGCAGACATATGTGCTCTTGCATTATATTGATGGAACATAACCTTTTTGTACCAAAACTCAGTTAAATGTTTTCGCTTGATAGCAGCTTCAATACGGACTAGCATCTTGCTGTACACCTTACTGTCACAGGTTTTATCTTTCCCAGATACTCTGTGGAAAATACCACAACAATCCTACCAGATCAAAAGCATGATCTTTTTGTTAGTCAGATTGTGCTTCATGATGCTACCTATAGGCTTACCAGGCATAGACCAAACCTCTTTTCGGCCTGTGCTGTTGAAATAAATCAACTTTTCATCACAAGTTATGATCCTGTCCAGTATTATGTACTTGCATTGATATTTGAGGAGGTTAGTTCAGGCCCGAACACACATGTCCTTATCTGCTTGAGTCAGCTTATGTGGCACCCAGTGATTGAACTTGTATGTCAATTTTATGCTATGAATAGCATGACTAATTGACATGGCACTAAAGGCCCGTCCAGCCGAGGACGCTCCCGCCGTAGTTGACGTAACTTTTTTGACGCCGGCGTAAATTCGCGTGACGCAGAAGACGTAAAACTGAGTACGCTCCTGTTCAGCTTTTACGCCCGCGACGCGCGCGTATAGCCAATAGCCAACCAAGTTCTTATCACGTATCATAATCAGAAAATCTTCTTGCTTACCCATTTCAATATGGCGTCAGAACCACACAGAGATGAGTTTTTGCTTAGAAATATCATAACTGTATACAGCAATAAAATAATCAGCATTGTTCACACCATCTTCAGATTTCTCAAACCGTACATATTGATATAAATTTAAAATTCTCATTAA